TGAATTTTTGATTTAGATGTAAATGGATGCTGTATAAATAGAAAATTATCAAAAACTCAGATTTTGCACCATATTTGCAGTACATTGATCAGAAATACTTCTAACATAAGCTACTAAAAATTGCCATATCTAGTGGACACAATAAAGCACTTCTTTATAATCAAATTGTCTCTAAGGAACCTAAAATTCACTGTCACTAAAGTTCACAAGCATTAATAATAGATGCTTGTTCTGGCTGCTTATAAGATTGAGCACACCAGACATTAGCATTTTAATACTAAATTTGGATCTAAATATTTAATTTTAAAATTAGACATAATATTGTAGTTATAACTACTCAAACACAGTGCATTTGTAATTTAGAAACATGTTACAACACTGCAGCGTATATTCCAACAACATATTCATACAAGGCATATTCCAGTGTGACAGTTCTGAAAAGACAGTTTGTGATCTACTAGGATAATTTTAATTGTGCCAATTTTTAGCTTTACAAGAGAACTTTCCAGTGCAAAGCACTGATACACTTAATGGCTGTTAAGATGTTGATGCTGCTTGAGAAAGTACTTGTGTACTACAGTAGAACTGAAGTGCCTTGAAAGAAGGAGAAAATGAGCAGTGTTTATCTAAATATTTATTCAATTTTATATACATATACATATATATAGGCAAATATATTTATCACATGCTGCTAACCTGAATAAGATCCTTGATTTATAAAGCACTTCATAGTCAGTGTTGTTTATGTCTTTAAGAAAGCAAGACAGTATGACCTGTGAGATAAATTGTTTCTTATGCTGACAGGGAACAGTTGTACCTCTGAACAGACTGGTGTTTCTTTATATGCCATTTTATTTTCTAGCTAAACAGAGATAAGTTATAAATTACCCTTGTCTGGACTGTAGTTTTCAGTGATGAGTGTAACTGACTGCTGTGCAGACTCAAGGAGAAAGAGAAAGGTTGTTGCTGTGTCTGGGCTTGTAAAGTAACCCTTTGAAATTCAATAGCCAAATTTGTCTGTACAGAAGTTAATGAAACTAAGTGCTTCAAGCTTCAAATGCATATTTGTGCATTTTATTCACTTGTAAATATTTATATTTCCTGCAAAATTAATCATCATCAATTTAGCCTCGAATTGAATCCTAAATTTACCCAAAGTCAAAACTTTTATCTTCCTCAGATAATAAGATTCACAAAAAATGGCATTGGATCCTTGGATTGTGGCATTCTGAAGTATAGACAGGAAAGAAGGAAAGGTAAGTAGCACATAAATTGCAAGTGTTCATATTTCCATATTCTTCTTGGAATATTTGAGCTGGGTCTGCAGAGACCTAACTTGTTCACAAGCTTTCCTCTGTGATAAAGTGGCCATATTGCTGCTGGACTGGATGTGAGCCTGGAAATACAGTAACTCCACTCTCGTGGTATTACATTTGAGCAGAGGCCCTGCCAAAGCCTGACTCACCCTGCCTAGCAGAGGCAGCTGGACTAAGTCTCCACCTCCTGCACAGGTAATATAAAATGCCCATGGACAATAAGGGACTGTCTAACTCTGGTAGGTTAAAGACAGTGTTACTGTACAGCAATCTTGAAAAGAAAAACACTTGCAGCAGCCCTGGCCATAAAAACGTGATGTCTAGTCTGGAACTTCTAACAAGAAATATGCCTCTCCCCAAACATCCCAAAATCCTACATTCTCAGGGGCTTCTGTATACCTTTTGTATTTTCAACACATTTCAAAAGTACAATATACTTCTATGCAGGTCATCTTCTACCAAAACACATAATTCACTAAGCTGTAGGAAAAGCAAAAACTGTCTTCCCTTTCTTGACAAACTACAGTCAGATATCAGTCAATCTTGGCAAGTTTGAGTAAAATGGAATGAGTATTGGCATTTTAAAATAATCTTTATATATCTCCTACAACTCTAAAATATTGAGGTCTTTTCACAGAGACCTTTCAGCACTTCATCAAGAATTTTGTAAGAAACTGTGTCACACTGAGCCAATGAGAAGTTTGGTCAGCTGAGAAATTCTTGAAATAGTACAGATAATGGCAAATCTGTCAAACCTAATATATTTATATATCCCCTCTAAATCCATTTTCTTAAAATTCTACCACTGCCTATAATTCAATATCCTGCCCTTCAAAAATACATTAATCAAGCACTAATAGGTTACCTAGAACATTATGACTCCTCTCAGCCATTACTATAAATTAACTTGCAGCAAGACATACTAAAACCCATACCAACTGTTTAGCTCTCTTAATAAGGGCTGGGGGAGGCCATAGTTCACAATAGAGAAGTATCACACTCTGAGATTGAAGCGTGAACACAAAGGATAACAGAATTGCTTGATGTAATGACCCTTTCCCAAAACATTAGCCATACCTTGCTTTGAATCTCACAGTGTGAAGAATTTCTAAAATTTACTGTTAGTCTTTATACTTCGTTATGTCTTTTACAATTTCAAATGGGATCAGAAGAATCAAAATAATTCAAAAATTTCTCCTGAAGACATTCCCAACTTATGAAAACTGTTTTGCAAACTTAAAATGAAACTCAGATAATAATCAGAACTGAACTTGACTCTACACTTTCTGATTTTGTAAGCATACTGCAAAAATAAAGTAAAGCAGGAAAAATATTAACTCCTGAGAAACTTTCTTTGCTTATCAGCACAGATAATAAGCATGGCAAAGGCAATTACTTTATCAGCTGTGTATCTTTACCTCATTCAAGGCAATCACATAAATGCAAAACATATTTGGACAAGAAGCTATCAAGTCAAATGAAAGACAAATGAAAATATCACTACAGGTGTGACAACAAATGAAACATAAGTAGAGACAAAGGGATTGAGAAAGCAAATTTTAAAAAGAAATCTCTAGATGGCAAAGACTGTGAGCAATTTCAAGCAGTTTGTACACAGAGGGACTGCCCTCCAGCATGAACCCAGAGTGCTAAATAGCAGATTAACTTCAAAATCACACTCCCAAACCAAACTAAAATGGTAATATAGCATACCAACAGAAGAGCAAAAATATCTCTCTAGTTCTTCTATGGAACAGAGTTAGTTCAGATTCCTACTCTACTGATACATTTCAATATCTGAAGCAGCACTCAGAAAAGAATATGAAATGGAGAAATAATAGGCACCAACTGCACTTAGTCTAGTACTGAGCACATATAGCTGTAGGAGAATTTTTCACTCCTTGTTTCTGAGCTTTAAATTAATCTTTCACAAAAAGCACTTTCAATAATACACCAACAACTGCCATTATGGAGATGAAGGTTTTAACTTGTTTAGCCAGCAAAGTCTAAATAAGAGCAATTGGCCACTGACGCATGGGCAGCTGAATATCAAAAGTAAAAACCTTTTAAAAGTAAATGAACAATTCCTATCCAAACAGCAGAGGTAGCTGCTGCCATAATCTATGGCTGATTTTCCATTCTTCTGGCACCTTACAGAGACTATACATCAGTCGACAATTCTCTATCCAGTGTCAACTTTTGCTTCAAGGAAGTCAAAAGACTTTATCATCTTAATCCAATGCAAATCTTTGAAGAAAATAGTCTTGGCTAACCAAAAAACTCCTGAACTTTTCTGTAGATACAATTTCAAAAGAATGAATAATTTTGCAGAGAGAACAAATGCTTTTGAGTAGTCTAAGGATATTCCTCAGGATATGGCATACACGCAATCTTGTGAGTTGAGAAGAAAATTAAAACAAAGGGGCTTTGGAAAGCACAAAAATATCAGAATATTTTTAAATGGTCTGTTAAACTAATGCAACTGTGATAAGCATCAAATTGTTCGTGACATTCAGTCTCCTTATGAAAAGCTACAGAATTTATTAAGTTTTTATTAAAAATAGTAAAATCTACATACATTGATGAAGTTTCCTGTTTTCTATTACTTACACGATTTTCTGTCTGTTGGTTTCCCAAGCCTTTACTAAACACATCTCTTCACAATATAGGTCAAAGTTGTAGCCAAAGCAATGCAATTATAAACTTACAGTGTCTATTTCTAATTATACTGTGACCTATAAAAAGTTAGCTGAGTAATGTTTCAGAGAATGGAGACGATTGAGCATTAAGTTTCACCTCGACACATAAAAAAAAGCTATAATATTCACATCAAAAAGGGACCAAGAGTTTTACACATGACAAACATCTTTTTTACCTTCAGAAGTGAAAGGTTATAAATGTTTAAGCCTAAGATTGTGATTGCAGAAACTTTGTAGAACAGTGAGTGAAAGAGACCAAAGAATCTTCTCTCAGTATTCAGAAATTAACATCCACAGGGAAAAAAATCTGTCAATTTTGCAAGTCAGATTTACAGTGCACAGGAAATGTACTATTTCAAACTAAACAGGTTAAGATTATGCAATACTTATAAAGAACTTGAAAACCAGCTGATACAAAAAAAAAAATGCTTTTGTTGATAAAAAAAATATTGCAAACTGATACTTTATTGCTTTATTTTTTTAGCATTTTGTAAAATATTTCAGTTTAATGGTATCTTACCTCATTTATACCACAAGGAGAGTTTTCAGGAATCAGCTTTGCAAAAAAAAGACTGTCCCATTTCCTTACCTTAGCTGAAAGAGTTACATGCAACCAGCAATTCAAAAAATAAGTGTCTGTTTTCAAGAAAGACAAGTAAGCCACAGATGATCTGTAAGCAAATCCATCTTCAGTGAAGAGTCAACAGCTTTTGTTTTATATGAAATACAGTGAGTAGTCTGCTGCCTCTACCTGTGTTATTGGGCAGATCAAGTTTAGGCCTGTCTGCTCTTCCCCTGCACGTTCCAAGCTACAGTAGTGATTTCTCAACATTCAATCTGCTGTATGGCAGCTCACTGAAATTTCAGCCGACACTTGTAGACTTGCAATTAGCAAGGTTATTTTAAGCACTGACCTAAGTTCCAGCAGAATGTTTATGGCATTATGACAGGAAGGAATCTAGTATCATATCAGTCACTTGGTAACCCTGTAAAGCTGATCTTGGAGACAAGACCCTCTAATTCACAGCATAAAAGTAAATATCTGACCTCCAATTTACTTTAATTTCTGTTTTTATGGCTTGAATAGAATGGAAATATCTACTTGGTTAATATCAGGAAGCTTAGAACTTATTTTAGGACCTGGCAGATCATATGCTTGGAACAAATGTATTAATAGGAAGTTATGACTTCCCTAATGGAGAGATTCATGGCTTACAAAACAGAGACTGTTAGTTTTGTAATGTTCACATTTGTAATAATTAACTATTACATTCTGAATGGGATGAGAAAATCACATAGTTTTTGAACTTATTATAGCTGGACTCTATAACAATACCTTTTTGTTTCTCCTTGGTTATCTTGAAAAGGGCTCCCTCTTCTGTACAGGCCTTTGATAACCTTCGTTTGTCCTGGATTTCTTTGGAATTCTCTGGCTGTCTAACTATTTCTAAGTCATGTCAAATGGCTCGGTCATACCTCCACACCCTCATTTGCTGTTCATTCACATTACCCCCCTCCCCCTTCTTTTTTCTTTTTTATTCATGGATCAGCTTTCTTGTTCCCACCCATTCTCATACTTCCAATAGCGGCAGATTTAATCTCACATATGGAACCATAACAAACAGCTTCTCTGACTGCCCCAGGTTAGAGCTATAATGGTCAGCCAGCTCGTGTGTGCACACACACCCAAGAGAAGCTTTTCTGAAAGCACCACAATCAGAAATACTATTATATGAGAGATATTTTTTTTAAAGGAAAGTAAATTAAGGAAGAAAAAAACAAACCACAAAACCAACCAAAAAACCAAAACCCAAGAAAAGCTGTTGCCTTTGCAAATTATTTAGTAATTTCTACACATCACAAATCACAGTGAAACTGCTCCATTGATATTGTTGCAAAATTCACTGGAGGCAAAATGTGCTTTTGAGAACTAAGAGTATTGAGAAAGCAATAGTAAAAACAACATAAACTCCTGTTGTCCTCATTTTAAAATATTAAAAGTTTCCTGAGTTACATACAAATTCAGATAGCATTCAAAACAATTAACAACAAGCTGAGTGTTAGAGGTATCCTAAAAAGTAAAATTTAAATTACAATACAGGTAGCAGGAAAAGTCTTCAACTATATCACAAGATCAAGAGCTGGAGTTTTTGAGTGAACTGGCCATTCATATACTTTTGGGATTGTCACCACTCAGAAGGATATTGTAATCACCACAAATAGTACAGTACCTGAATGCATACACACAGCTGAATTCTGGACATAAGGACAGAAACATTACTATCATGGATACACAATTACTTCTTTCAGAAGAATATTTTTACAACAGAATATTTCTTATGAAATACCATGATCTAACTATTTCAAGACATCACGAAAGCATTGGTTTGCTAATGTAGCATAGCCTCAGCCATCAAAAACTCTAAGGAGTTCAAGGAAAAATATTTTTTCTTGCTCAGACATTCTCTTTTTTTTTTAAATCTGGGAATCACAAAATCTGCTTTTAAATAAACACCTTTTCCATTTTAGATCCCTTCCTGAACCTGTATAAATAGGTTGATCTCTGTAGGAGCAAGCAGAAATCTCAAAAAAAGGATAATAGTATTTGATTAAAAAATGGCAGGAAAAACACCAATAAGGCAAATGTCTTGTTTCGGTGCTTAGCAAAAAAGCAGGTTAGGACTACTGAGTTCAGAGTAGAGGGGAGAAAAATTTGACCATAACAACATTTCCAGGTTTGGCCATGGTTGCTTGCTCTGTGCTCAAATATTATATTCACTGCATTACTCGGTTTTACAGAAATCATCTCACACAGTGTTATACAAAGCCCTCTGGATAAATTTTTTAAAAATTGTTGCTCAAAATTATTTCAAATTATTTCAGTTACAAATTTTTTCAGTTCCAGTTTCAAATAATTCTGTTTCTAGAAATATTATATCTTTCCTAGGAACAATACCAGTTTTCATCAACTGCTAGTACTTAAACAGGTAGCTACATAGGCTACAGTAGAGTTATATCCTTTTTGCAATATGAAATAGATTTTCTAAGTTTAATTAAAACTTTATTTTATTTATATGAAACACAGACGTGATACATTGAGACACTATGATTTTACAAGGCTTTCCTCTGTTTTGGGGCTTAACTTGTAAAATGCTGAGAAAGAATAACTAAGGATCAGTGGTTCAGTTCTCTCTTTGAAACTTGATTCATACCTGCCTAATAGCAGGAAATCCATTTCCTGTTGAAAATCAGGTAACTCCAAGAAACACATCTCAGAATGTTGTTTGCATTACTAGCTAGTGCTTTACTTGCTGATTTCACTCCCTGTTCCAGGAAGGAGCTGTAGATGAGTCAAGTTGGATGAGAAAGGCATGTAGTCTACTGATGAGTTGGAAATAGACTACCCTCTTAATTAGGAGAACTATAAAGATCTTAAATAAAACTGCGGTGAAAGAAATAGAAGCAGACTAATATACATGAGCTAACTTTAGAAATCAAACACTGCACAGTAGGAGGACAATTCAGCAGAGCTGGAAGGTTTCATCTTAAGTGTTTTGAAAGATCTTTATTGCTAGCTCTGTAAAAAGGGGTACACTTTCAGCAAATTATTCTGGAGATGTGAAAGACAGAAACCCATAAGAAAAACAACTCAGGCTAGAATTAATGAATGAGTCATATGTTTTCCCTGAAACACAAATATTTCTGGAAGGTAAAATGCAAACTTTCAATAAAGTGACAGCCGTGATCAATTTTATCACTTATGTTGACTTATAGGCTCTAAATAGAATTACTGAGTGGGGGTTTTATTACTATTTATTTGTTAATAATGAGGGAGTTGGCAGGTTTTTTTAGGGAAAAAATGACAGAAATAAGACATGAAAGACTTCTAATTTCAAACTTGTAACATCACTGTAACTTTTTTCAATTACATACTTCTATTTGAGGTTTAATTCTTATGCCTTTTCCCTTGAGCTAATCTTTACCAACCAGATAGCCTATGAATTTGTATTACAAACTCAACATTTTTTATATTACTGACTAAAAATTCAGCCCTTATTTGCAATCAACCTGATCTTTTACAAGTATGGTAAACAGCCCTGGATAAGATGAGTTAAGCTAGTTTCATGTTTTCCAGTGAAAGAAATCTTCACTAGAAAAAATATTTATTAGTTAAAAACAAAATTTTACAAAGAAATTTTGATGTAAAAGTTTGTTAAAATCAGAATAGGCTTTCTTTCCATGATATCCAGTTTATATAACTGATTCAAACATGTACGATTTAAAAAAAAAGGTGGTTTACAGCCTATTATGTTTTTGTGATTCTCAAGTGTGATGCAAGGGACCAAAATTAAGATTTCTTTTTTACTTGGTATTTACTAATTCACAGATGTGGAGCTATGCGTGGAGTACAACAAGAACTTAGACACAGTAATTCAAGGTGGGTATCAAGACAAGTACTGCATACATGATATATTGTTTTTCTGAAATTTTCTAAGATAAAATGCAATTTGTGGATTTGAAAATTTCAGAATAGGATGGTTTTGTTCTCTTGTGGGTGATATAATCAAGTCTAAATACAGGAGTGGGAATGTTCAAACTTAATGAAGGTTGAATTCACTGATAGTTTCATTATTTCCCCTAAAATTTTCCCTAAGCACTCCACCAAGTTATTATAAACAAAAAAGGAAAACATTTCAGTCAACAAATAGATTGACAGGAAAGCAGATGAATTTTAACACATCAGTTTTTGCAGTCTGTATATCTCTATAATTTAATTAAAAAATAAAGTTTAAAAACAATTCTGTCCCAAGTGTTGGTCTAACTGCCTGTATTTGCATTTATTTAGTATCTTCAAAAAAACTACATGAAGAAATGCACTTCTGTGAGGCAAAGAGAATTAGTAGGCATTAACCTCTCCCTTTTTCATGAAGGAAACATCAGTAAATACTGCCTTTGGCATTTTCTTTACTGTCATTTAAACTGAGTATCATTGAGAATCACTTTTTTCACTCCTATTATGTACCACTTTGTCACAACCTATCTTACATTTGCACACAGCAGAGATTGAAGGTTTAGTCTGTTCCTTTCTGCATTTTCAAAGTCTTTCTTTCAGAAAATAAGAAATTAAACAGAGCTGCTTGGAATGCATTATCATTGCATTATCATTGCAAAGTATGAGTTGACATATTTAGAGATATATATTGTAATTCTAAGACTCTAAGTGGAGTCAGACTTCTCTATTATAACATTTCAATATCCCCCTGAAAAACCAAAATCTGAGTAAGGTTACTGCAGAGGAAAACATTTTCTAAATGGTATTTCCAGAATTTCATAGAGAATAAATATGACAGTTTTAGCTTTTGCTCTGAAGGATTTAATCATTAAAAACTCTAAACATGGTCTTTCCTAGGAAATGAAAGGCTGGTTAAAACCACTTTTCCTTCTCCTATTCCAAGTGACTGATTGTCACATTCTAGACATTTCTAGGCAATGGGATTATGTAATTCAATTTTTTTAAACACGAAAACAGCTGTTACATCCAATATTCATGACCTATAAGTTTTCCATATATAGTTATTCAGCTGTTCTTTCAGTCCATCTGAGTTGCAGCAAAATGAAACTGTGCAGAAGACCTAAAAGTTTTATTCCATAGTTAAATGAATGCACATACTGTTCCAAAGCAACAGAAAGAAAGCAAAGCTTACAAAAATCTTGGTCTTATCACTGCTTCAATGGATTGCAAGTCCCTTATTCATCCCACGCACAAAATCAGTACAGTATTTTATTGCATATTTCGCATTGCTTCTTATTAGCATTTGATGTGCACAGCTGTATGTACTAGTGTGAATAATTCTTACAGAACTTCATAGAAGGAAAGAAAAGAAGGGAAAGCACACACAGAGATTTTTAAGATAGAGTGTGGATACTTTTGAAGATACTTGCTCTCATTATCAGCTGCTTCAAATTCAGCCTATTTTACATCTTTTTCAATAGCTTTACTTTGGTTTTTTGTTTGTTTTTTTTTTTTCCAGTGAAGGATGAGGTTGGTTCATTTGTATAAAACGGGTTTATCATGTTCCTATTTAGATGTTTAGACGGTCATAAACTTATCAAGGTAAGTTAACTAAGATCCATTAGTCTACTTAATGCATAAGGGCATTTCTCATGATAAAATTTAACATGCTGGATACATTACATTTCCAGGATGTTGTTACACTGATGTCTGCACATCTTCCAGAAAACATTTTTTGTAATAATACTTATTGCAAAATATGAGAGCTCTTTGTGATTTAAATAAATTGTGAAGTGTAAGCAAAACAGTAGAAGAACCATGCTATTACAAAGAGAGAGTTTGCCTTAGGAACTGCCTGAGAGGGTGTGGGGGTAATAACAGCAGTAGTCTCACAGATTGCTTGAACTGCAAAAACTTGCTCTTACTGCTGATTTTGCTACCAGTTTATTTTGGACATCAGTACAGGCCATATTGTGTCTGTATGGCCTGCATTATGTCAAGTATACAGTGGGTGCATTCACACTAACTGGCATTGTGTAAACAACTTTAAAACCATATCCAAAACAAACTAAAATACTAATTTATCCAGTGACCCATGCAAACCCGAATTAATTAATTTTGTATCCAAACAGAAATTTTGTTTTTGAATCCAAACAGGGGTTATAGGTATCGCCATATTCAAGAACAAGCTTAAGTTAAATACTGCCTCCTGTTAGAAGTATTGTCAAACTCATATTTTTCTCATAGAGAGCACTGTAGAAAATGAGTGCTTCCAGGGAGTAAGAGTATAAATATTTATAAATATAGGTATGTTCATAAATGCAGACACATTTCTCTGAGGGCTCTATACCAGCTTCACTATTACAAGATCAAGCTTTTTATTTTGTAAATATTACAATAAATTTGACACATTAGTTGCGATTTTTTTTTCAGATAAATAATAAAAAACCCTTGCAAATTACTACTACTATTGATGCTCTATAGTTCTGTGCATGTGACAATAAACTATTTCACCCCCCTCCCCGCTGGCAGCAAGGACGGCAGCAAGGGCAGCATGTGGGCAGCTCCTCCAGCTCCTGGAGCACTAGGTGGTGCTGCAGCACAGCCACAACCGAACCTGCTGGCTCTGAGCTGCGCTGGATCTCAAATGTCTCATTGCTCTTCTAAACCTTCTTACTGAAGACTATTGCGCAAGAGACTCTGAGTTTTCAAGGGGTTTTGTCGGGGATTTTTCCTTTTGTTTTAACATAAATTCTAGATTTCTAGGACACTGTAATTTCTGTGGTTTTCTCATAAATGCTGTAAAAATAGAAACAAGGAACAAAAAGAAAATTTATATACATAATAAATGCAGTTAATTACAAACAAAGCCAAATTTTTGAAGGTTATCCCTGTGCTGGTTTAAAGGTAAACCGGCAGGGGAAAAGAACCCAACTCAAAAGAGAGATTATAAATCAGAATAACAATTTAATAAAATAATACAATAAGTACAATTATACAGACAAAGAATTGGTTTTAACTCACAAAACCCAAATGTATAACCCAGCACCCTGGGGCACGAACAGAGCGGTGTTCGTTGGGTCCCCTGAGTCCAAAGTAAAAGGAGAGGGGAAAACCTGTTGGTGAGAGTGCTGTTGCAGTCTGGTCAAGAGTGGTGGTGTTGCAGTCTGGTTGAAAAGTGGTGGTCTGCAGTCTGGTTGAGAGTGGTGATCTGCAGTCTTCCTCTGGATCCCACGAGTGGTTAATAAAGTCCCAAGACCCCAAGATTATATATCCTCCAGTTCAGGCAGGAATGCCCAGTACCTCCCTCAGGGCGGGGAGTTCCACAAAGGGTGTGAGGACAGGAGCATCCTCTGATCTCGCAGGCCTCTTAACACCTAGTTTATAGCCTGAGGAGTCAGACTGCTCTGGGCAGATGGTGTAAATGGTCTATTGATACCAGTTTCTGGGAAATGGCATGGAAGGCTGTAGAATATACAGTGATGAACTGGTCCCAGCTGTTCTAACTAGGACAATCACGTACCTCTTTTATCTTGTTATACAGTGAACCAAGAAGATAAATTACAAGGATTTTCCTACAATACTATGATCCAGACTTGTACTTTTTGAAAGTAATTTCTCTAATAGAAATACAATGCACTAAATATAAAAATAAGTTAAAAAGGTACAAAATTATAAATATGTTATTTGCATGTTAAAAAGAAACTCAAATGTGTTATTAAACTCCATGTTTCAGTAGTTCCATACAGTTCAAGGGCTTCCCAGGGGCATAAAGTTGCCATTGTGCACATTTGCAAACTATACCCTAAATGTACATTAGTTCTCTGGCTTTCTTTATATTACTAAATACAGAGGTTTTGACTTTGGCAGTTTGGGGGGGGTGGGGAGGAGAAGGGTCATTTTTTGTCATTTGGTTGGTTCGGGCTTTTGGGGGTTTTTTTGCCCTGGTAAGTAGACTTCCAGACTTCCATGCACTGGGTAATTTTCCAATTGCAACTGGTTCTGCAAGAGAGAAGAGTCTGAAACAGCTGGATGAAGTGAGGTCTTCAAAGGAGCTATGAAACATTTAATAATTGCGATTTAATGGAGGATTCCTGTAAATGATTGTAAATGTCTAATTTATAGTTCCTTCTCAGTTGCAATATTTCACTACCAAAATTAAAATCACCTCCTTTCTATAAATGCTAACAGCTGTATTTCTTATTCAAGGTCAAATTATTCAAACATCAAGGCAACAAAATCATTATCCATTCCATTATAACAACTGAATCTTCATCTTTGGTAAGGGAACAAACACAACTAAGAATAAAACCTCCAATAAAATCAGCAAGATCAGATTCTTGTAATGCAGGACTGCTAGTCAGCTGACTGCTGACTAGCTCATTTGCTGCAGGAACATACCACAACCATACTCAAAACAATTTGAAGCAGAAGCAAGTCTGCCCATTCATTGATTTGAGCATACTAGAAAAGGTATTAAAGATTTTAAACTGAATCTTCTCTTTACTCTTCTGTAGTCATAGAAATTACACAAAGCCAGACTTCAGAAAAAACGCACTAGAACGAAGTAAAAGGCCCATGTGGAGAGAGTAGCACTGTCTTCTACTTCACTCCTGCATTTTTAATGCAGTAAGTATTCTTAAAAATGTGCTCTGGCAGGCTTCTGCTCTCTCCACAGAACATGGCATTGGTCCAGGTTAAGACAGAAAGCAAGGCTTTTTAAAGTAGCAATTCAATATGGCAGCAGATGACTCGGCAATGTTCTTCAGTGAAAAGAAAGGAAGAAGAAAATTAAAAAGGACAGGAATCAGATGGCAGTTTTGAAAGACAAAAATTGTGAGAGAGAGAACCAGAAAATAGCTGAAAGGAAAATAAGACAGAGGAGAGAGGCTAGAAAATAAAGCTAGCAACCAAAAGCTAGAAGGTAATTTGCAACCTAACAAATAAGACTCCTGAGCTGACACGAATACGTGTGTATTCTTTCAAATAGAGGAAAATGTCTTTTTCAACAGTTTGTAAGATACCTATATAACATGAGCTTTTCCTTGGTAATTTTTCAAGCAACCTCTATAATAACTTAGAGGTGTGGCCCTGTCATTCTGACTTGCTGTCTCCCATATAAGATAAAACAGTAGCAAACAAAGTCCATCTAGTAATTTAGAAGTAGTCACAATTCAAAAAGCATTCCCAAGTACTGTAACTACAAAACTGAGCATGGTAGTTTAAATTGCAGAGGAGATTACCATGAAGTCTTTGCCACTCAAATGTTTGATTTGATGATTCAGTTGCTCATTAGCTTTAATTAAAAAAAAAAAAAAAATGGATGATAAAACAGGGGTAGACAGTCAGAGATACTATAATTCATAATTAGGATCAAAAAAGAATCTTGAACAGATTTGAGATAGGGAAGTTATTCTTGCAGATCTTAGCTGAAAATCAAAAGCATATAATTTACATTGTAATACGGCAAAAAGCATGTTTTCAGTATTCCTTATTCTACCTGAACTTTGAAAGAAATACAGCATTGTCAGTATTTTGTGGATATTTAAAGTACTCTTTGAAGAGACAGTTTTATTTGTGAGAATTCATAACAAGTCACACACATTTGCAGGTGTCAATTTGCTATTTTAACCCAATAAATCAAAATTATCTATTTCAAGTTAAGATCCAAGCCCCAAATGAAAAATAGGTATAGAAGAGATCCTGTACCTGATAAGGGATGAACAAATGTGTAGCAAACTGTCTTGTTTTCACAGCTAAACCAGGCATCCAAACTTTCAGGAAACCCCTATTAATACTGTATGAAAGAAGTCCAGAAGACCTTAGCAAAGTAAACAGAATAGCTTAAGTGGCACCATGTCTGTATAAATCCTACTGTACTTGGAAATATCTGTCTTCCCTCTATTTTATCATATGTTTCACAATACTTGATAATATTCTTAACTGTCCAGATTGTGAGATTCATTTACTGCCTCAAAATCCTAGATTTCATTTAAAGGTTTCTAGCCCTGTTTGCTTCTCAGTAATATAGACTTAAAATAACTGTGGAAAAGCAAGTATAAATATCCAGTTTGGTATCTCAGCTCTATGATTTTAGAGCATAGTTGACTAATGATTTTGCAGACTTCCAGTTGATGATTTTGTCTGCTAGCAGCTGAACAGCGCTGGGATGCAGAAACAGATGTCAGCCATACCTTTCATACAAGCTGACTGTCTGGTGTATAAATCACTTTGCTCATCCCACAGAGCACTTCAAATTTCAATTCTATTTCTTAATTCCGTGGGGTCATTTGGATACTTTACTGTATCCAAGAGTACAGATAGTTTGCACCATTAAAAACATAACATTCCTCCTTGACTATAATTTCTTATTCCTAAAGGATGGTAACAGTACTCTGTCATGTCAGAAAATTTTATTCTGTCAGTGTACTAAGTAGACTCAAAGACACAGAGCAGCCCCTCAATAACTATGAAGCATGAAGTGAACTGCAAACATTCACACACATTAATGGTGCACTACAGTGAATTGTAGTATAGTTGCTCTAATATTTTAGGGCAGGTAATTCAGAAGAATCTGAGAAAAAAAACAGAAATACATTGGGAATAAGTACATATGCAAATGTTGATGTAGTAGTGCCACTGTATTTGTTTTATGGTACTACAAACATGATACATACACATATAAATATATTTATGCAAATGTATGCCTATATATGTATGTCAGTTATTAAAAATAATGTATTTCATAATGTCAGATCACAATCACACTGGAAGTGCACATATAAAATCACCTATTCCCTATACATTAGCAGATAAACTATGATTATATCTACAGAACCTATTCTGCAGAAACACTACTTGCTTTCTCACCTGTGGGACATCTGCATTTTTTATTATCAGAAGCAAATGTATTCATCTCAACACAAAGAGATAAATGGCCACACCAAAAGATAAGACTATATTGAAACTTGCTTCCAATTCCTTTTAAAATATGGAACCACAGCTAAGAGTAGGTATGGCTCCAGGGCTCACTGAGGAGAGTAAAAACAATATAGTTCAGATATTTATGAGATGCATTTCCTCAGCTAATACAGGTTATGAAAAGTAAGTACACTGCTCAATGGGAAAGGGAAATTGCAATGTGCTACTACATTCAGTGGGATTTATATTTTGTGAAAACTTAACAGTGGTCTGTCAGAATTTTGGAGTGCTCCAATTACTGTACTAGTAGTGCTGTAATGTAGAGCTGCTTTATGCCTTTTAAATTACATGTGTTTTCCAAAGAGAAATGGAAACATTTCCAAAAAAAGAAGTGCTCCATCTTTTGAAATGCAAAGCACAGAATCATAACTGACTACACAAAAAGTACTGTCTTTCTCCAGAGAATCGTTTACAGGGAGAAATAGGAGAGAGTATTTAAAAAGCTTTAACAGATCAAACTGGCATGTATTAGTTCTCCTTTTCCTCCCTGTTTCTGCACAGTCCACTGTAAATAGTTCAGTTTCAAAGAGAAAATTTATTCATCTGTCTTTAGTTCTGCACAATTTCACTAGAGACATGGAACACATTAAAATCTTCAAGTCAAATTTTTGGATATATGTGCTAATGCCTCTAATGCCTCTTTACACACAACTCAAAAAAGCCTAAGACAACCCATGAAAAAAAGAATCTCGTGTGTATTTATAACCTTTTCTGAAGAAGATGCCATCACTACACCTACAATGTCAGTCAGACACTAGTTTGAACCCAGTGCTTCTGCCACCCAGCTGTATTTGTTAGCTTCAAACAATGAGGCCAAGCTTAAGAGAAATCCTTAAGAAAAGGTCAGGGTCAAGTATGGCTCCCAGGCTGTCCTAAGAAGACAGATCAAGCTCAGGTAAGGCCACATGAACTTCATCTCAGTCCTCCAGAAGGCATCTCATACACCTCAGTCACAGGGTGGCTGCAATGCACAGAGCAACAATTCAATTAAAAGTATAAACTCAGCTCCCCAGACATGTTGCCTTCTCCATACGAAAATGCACAGCACCCTTTTGCTTTGCTGATGTATGAAGGAATCACACCAATTCATAGCAGGTTTTTTAATGGTGAACTACAGAGAAAGGGATTTTATGGAATAATTGATATAATTCAAGAGGCGAATATCCAAGGACGTTCAAAAATCACAAACTTGTGGAACCTGTTCTTACTGAAATGCAAGTTTGTTATGTTATTTAAATATTTATGTTGTGTTTTTGGCATTCAGACAGCAACCATCCTATAACTTGAAATTTTTTCTGTCAACTTGTCAACTCTCCCATAATAAAAGACTATAAGGGAATTTTAAATATAATGTAACAAACTAAAAAGAGTTCCTTACATTTTGTGCAATTTTCTGTGCCTGCTGTTACTGCTCACTTACGCATACTACAGTTTTTGGATATCTGTAAGTGACAAGTAATTATAAATTGAAAAGTAACAAACCCAGCCAGTATAATGACTGGTGAGAAATATGTCTACAAAGGCTACTGAAATATGCAAAGAAAACATCTATAAACATAATAGTTCACAATGCAGATCAGAACTAGATGACTGCTATAAAACATAATAATATCCTACCTTCTAAACAAATAGACTCAAACAAATCCTCAAGAAAAAAGTCACCAGAAGGACTTATGTGGCACTGCTTTTGTGTGTATTTGTTTGTTTACACACAGATATATATTTACACACATATATATATATAAAAAATTAATTCAATGAAGTCACAGCTACTATAATAAAAAGTCCCATTGGCATCCTTATTTTTGAATAAAAATAATGATATAATATCAACAACCTCTAATTTTAAAAGTTGACAATATTTAATCTTACTTATACCATAAAAACAGTATTAATTTAGGGTTTTCCAGAAAATCTGGACATCAGCATATGTTATTATCATCGCATATATGTATACTAAACAACAAAATACAATCTCTCAGCAAATATTTTCATTAAATAATTTGCAGGATGACTTAACATACAACATTTTTTTCATCATAATGAAAAGTATTTATATCACTACATTATTATATCCAGTAAACATTTGTGTTTGAGTCAGATTAGGACATAGTCTAGAAGAGACTATAACATCTGCACTGTAATCTGATAGTTACTTTAATATTTCTCCAGAGACCACTAGTAGAGTACATTAGCTCATTCTCTAAAGTCTGTATTAACATATTTTAATGTAGCAGCAATATGGACTGAGACGGGGAAAAAATAATAGTTACATTTGGTCAAAGTGCACTTACATGCATTCCTGTATTGCTGAGGTCTGAAACAGAAATTCTGGAATAAGTATATATTTCAAAAGTGTAAATATCCAAATGAGAGTGAGATTTTCCAGAGTTTTTTATTTTTAGAACTAGAAAAAACTATGAATGATAAAAGACCCTCTTTTTTTCTCATCTTGAAGCTCCAATTTCCTTTTCACAGGCAAATGTTCACGTTTCTTCTCCTGAGTCTCCTGACTGCTGAACAATCCAAATGTCTATTTTAGGACAACCTTAAGACCTCCATAGAATTACAGATGCTACTCTGCTCTTATAGGTACAGCCTCCCTGAATTACACCATCCTTCTATATCCAAATACATTGCTCAGAACTAATGACTGCATCTCTACCTTCGGAAGAAGGGCATTGCTTTGGAGGAAATGTTACAGGTTGCAGAATTTTTGCTCAGTCTGTCCTTACTGGTTTGCTTTGAAGAAACTCAATCTGATGTAAGGAGCTGTTCGGATTGTCTCCCTGCATTAAGAGGAGGGCTTAGATACATTGTTCAAAATTTCTTTCCAAAGGCTGTGTATATGGACCCCAAATGAGTTTATCAGGTAAAATATGCCTTTTTTTTTCTTCTTTTTCTTTTTTTTCAATCTGTTTTGCCCAAGCCCAGAAGGAATATTATCCAGTGCTGCTGTCTTCTACCACTCCAATGAATATTCAAGTCTTTTTGTCACAAGAGCAGTAATTCCGATAATTTTTATTGGTATTCTTTCCTGGCACTTCTAGGAAGGATGTCCAAGTTTAAAGGGTCCAGCACAGTCTGCAACATTTATTATTTATTCATTTATTCTGATTTATTATGCAAGCCTGATCCTCCATTATCACTGGGGTTACCAGTTAAGTCTTCAGCTTTTAGCTACTTTCATTCCCTTGATACATAGATAACAGCAGACTAATCAAGTAGTTCTCACTTCTCTACTCAGAAACAGATAGGCATTTCTTTATCTTCTATCTTAATTTGATCCCTCAAATAATGACCAGTTTTCTTTAGAAAGCAATTGAATCTACAGTAAAATTTGTATGCTCTCTCTCTTTTCATACTGTCTCCCATGGCACCCAAGCAGATAATTAGTAGAAAGTTTGCATGAATATCGGCTATATAAATAGACTTGCTTACCTAATTCTAACAGAAGAAAGAAAATCAATCTAACTCCATTGCATCTGTACAGACTGAATAATAGCTAACATGAGACATGGAAATTTTTTTCTATTAGTCTGAATGGCAAAGTTTAAACCCAACTAATTTTTCAGAATCATTGTATTAACCTGCTATTATTTTCTTTTTTAAAAATTTGTAATTATCAACACAGATTAGCTGAACACTAAAGGTATAAATTTTAATTTTGAAGTTACAGTATTACCTACAACTACACTAGATCATAATTAAAAATTGGATTAAAAATGTCAGGGTTTAATGTTTTTTCTAAGGTTACTGCTAAAAAACAGGTTATCTGAATTTCTTTAAACCAATATCTAGCAATACTTAGGTACTTGAAGTTAAAAATATGTAAGAACCTACAAAGGCTCAACAAATACATGTTTAGTATAAAATATTTGCAACATTAAAAATAGTTTCAGCACTAACAATAATATCTAACTAGCACTCAACCAATGCATTCATGTGTTTTTTGAGAAATGTTATAAGCAAACAGGACAGGATTCTTTTTTCCATTAGGAACTTAAAATTGGGCCTTCAGGAGTGTGTTCTTAACTGACTTCAATGATCAGAGCAGAATATATATTAGGACAGAAGGTAGGCAACAGCACAGTCCTGTATCATCTTGATCAGTTGCCATTTAGCTTGTAGATACTTAAATGTCACAGATAAACCTCTGTTGCTCATTTCAGTGAAAGTATTCAAGTGCCTAAAATTTCATATTTCTGAGCTCGGGCTACCATAAATCCTGACAGGTAACTTAGCACCTAATTTCTAAGCCTAATTAGTACCTAGAAAATTGACACTGACTTGATCATCACTTTCATTCTTGAAGACTGACCTGGTAGGCAAGTGAACAGCACACCCAATGCATCCAGGATTGCACTCTATATAGAAGAGAGCATTAGCCTCTGTTTATGTTTGATAACATATAGCAAGGGATTAGGACAATATTTAAGGGACGTGGAAAAAGTAGGTTTGTTTCTGTCAGGCAGAAGAGAATTTAGCCCAACATCTACAAAACCGAGATGACTTTTACAGTTGTGGTGTTATCATAGTAAAGCACATTAAGATGTGGTAAAGAAGTCACATCTTTGTCCATAAAAACTTCAATCTAAGCAAGACTGTAGAATTGTCATACGAGTTGGAAGGTTTCTAAACAATGGGATTGTTTGACCAGATAGAATTTGAAAAACACAGATTTATTTCTGCTATTCCATATTTTCCATTCTGACTGTTTTCCAAATCAAGGAATATGCTCAGGTCACAGAGGAAAAGTGAAAAATTTAAAGAAGGTAGGCATACTAAACTACTCAGAAAATTAGAAAAGCTAACAAACCCACCTGTTTCATGTTCAAGCCCTGGCTGCAAGTGAAGGACAGGCTCTGCAAAACCCAGCTTCAGAATAGTTAATCTGTTTTTAACAGCATTTACACTCAGCTGTTCTACTGAATGCTGTGATTCCACCAACATTTTCAGAGGCAAACTAAATAAAAATACAACCAATTGTATCCTTTAAATTGTGTATGAAATCTTGTGTTTACAAAGCTGAGAACTAACACATATAGCAGGTATGTTCTGCCAAAATATAGACATAGCAAGCAACTTTCCGTATTGATAAATGTATTTATTATCTAGTCTTTCACCATACTTCCATAAGCAAACTTAGTTTTGGTTTGCAGTCAGCTAAGTTGTATTTGTACTAGGTCTTCTGGCTAAAAAAGATTGTAATTTATAAAGGCTGTCAAATCTTTGGAATCACTATGCACAAAAAGCAATGTAATAAATTATATGTTTATAAAGAAATTATTATTTGTTTAGTTTTTAAGTGCTTCATAAATACATAACTTGTCATCAAATGAGCTTCTGGTTTGGATTTTGGAAAAAAAATTAAAAAGGATAACAGCATAGTGTTTCATTGATACAAATAAATTATTACAGAAATATCCAATATGTTACATAGACAACCAAGATCTGAAGTTTTCTTACCAGATTTGCGGTAAAGAAATCCTGATACTCAGGCTGTAATTCTGCAATACAGCTGCATTAACTTTTTTTAATCTATATATTTGGAGCTAATAAAGCATTTGAAGATTCTGAATAAATTTTTAGTTGTTTCAAATCTGCAGTGGACATTAAAACATCAACTATTTCAAGAAAATTCTCTTTAAAAAGTTTTTTGAGCAAATTTGGGTTTACTTATGATTGTTGAAATAATATTTCCCCTCCCTCTCAATATTCAACTGAAATATTCAAGCTCTTTCAAACATTAAACTTTTCAGAATAATTTTCTCAGAGAATTTTACAGCTTTAACAAGACCAAAGAGACTGAAATCTATCAAATGTAATTAGTTTAAAAGAGTCCCTTTGAGATGCACAGTCCTACACATTTGGGAGATGTTAACCAGTTCTATATGAAAGAAGTTGCATTTTCCCTATTGTTGTGGTTCACTTTCACAGCTTCACACCAGTTTTTGGTGTGCACATTCTGTCCTGTTAGCTATAGAAAATCTAGTTCTCAAAATCTGAAAACCATATTTTAGAATGGAAATATCATATTTTACCTTTAAATAATATTTTTTAATCTGAATTGCATTTCAATTATTTTTAAACTAATTATATTTCTGTGCAACTTAATTTCTTAGTATAGGATTGTTAATAGTGCCAAGAATAAATAATTACCATATTACTGGATCTCAAACTATTTGCTAGACCTGAGACTCACTGCACATAACAACAGTTCCACCAATTTTTGTCCAACAACTTGATGATTCTCAGACCTAAATACAATAGTATGTCTTTGTCTCCTTTGAGCTATAGGTCAGAGTTTATAGTCAAATGTCTGCTTCTTAGACACTCGTCTATTTGTCAGAGAAATTTGTGAGAAGAAAGAATAAACCTGTTTCTAATGTTACAAAAAGACATTTGGCAGAGGAAGTATTTATTAAATAAAACCCTACCAAATTTAAGAGGAGGGCATGAGAAAGATATCTACTGTACCCTGGTTTTACATGTTTTTCAAAATGCTCATAATGGAAAGGAAAAGGAATAACCTGTACCTAACTGCAGACGTATTAGAAACTGATACCCTTTAATATCTTATTTTGATAATTTCTCACACACTCTTCTTATCCAGGATTTAAGTTTAATGAGAACAACTAAAAATTCTTTGTCCCTCAAAAAAGTGGAAACGGAGATAGTGAAAGGATAATGGTTACATGATATTTGATTTTTATCCACTCTTGTGGTATGAGTCAGAAGGAAAGATAAAAGATCCAGTTAAGCAATGTCTAAGCCTGACTCAGGTATCCCGGAAAAAGATGACTGAAGCCTCTCTACCTGGAACGCGAGAAAACATCAGTGGTCTGCAAAGATCTAAAGACACTATCATAGCATAAAATGTGTTTGTTTCTATGTCAATATACAACATATGGTTCAGATATTTAAGTCACAAAGCAGTGGTGGAGTGCTTTACTCCAAAATAAGTTAGAAGTTAACAGACATCTCAGATACAAAAGATTATACTAGATCATCCAAAATGACGCTTTTTTCAAAAAGATAGAAAGCAGTAAAGAATGATTTGAAACATCAGACCCTTCCGTGAGAGACTTAAGGGATATAAAGTAAAGCAGAAGAACAGGAGTTGAACCCAAGTTATACCTCAGAAGGATTCCAAAAAAGATTTTGCTGTAAAAGCAAAATATTTTATTTGAAATAAAAAAAAAAGCTAAATGGACCATGAAAGCACCTCAGCTGGTTAAGATACAAGGAGAAAGAGAGCACTTCTTTATTTGCTTGTAGTAAAAACATGTCTTTTTTTTAATCTCCTTTACAATATTTGCAATTGGCAAAAGCTACACTGAATGTGCTGGAGAGATCTAAAAGTATCTTAGCACAGCTTGAGTTAAGAGTGATGCCAGATAAATGACTAATATAGGGCATTCTGGAATCCAAAAAGTTATGATTCATGCAACCATCCTCCTGAAGCACTCATGTGAATCTGAGCTTTCCAGGAAATTTCCCAAGAGACAACATAAAAGAAGCCTCCCACTCATGCTGTGGGGCTAGTTCTGAGAAAGGGCATTGCAAAAGTGAGAGAAACAAGTATTTTCAAAGGATCAGTGGTCATTAGTAAAGACCTAAATCATGTAGCATGAAAAGAGACTGACAGAAAACACCAAAATCCCCAGGGAACAAGCCACAAAAAAGAAACAATGCTCTTGATTACAGGAAGAGCAGAAGCACAGACAGATCTACAACAGGGATATAGAGAAAATTTTCACAAGTGAAAGAGATGATCTGTGTGCTAAGCAATTTCTCCAAGGAATAATACAAAAAGTCTGCTATGGCCTGGATCCTCAAGCCAATCTTATCACCACAAGCCAAGTGACAGCCAGAGGAAGGAAATCAACTTTAAGTATCCAAAACAAATAGAAAGCTGTGTGAAAATGGAATCAGATCTCTCTCCTGGGTGAGGAAAACAAACTATGAGAAAATGAAAAATTGTTGCCTTAGTGCTATGTTTGCATTTTGAAAATTATATTCAGAAACTACTATGTTATAGGTCTTCATCCTGAGACTGTATCATTCATTTTTCTCATTTTGATTGACAAAGGAGTAGAGAGAAGGCTTCTTAAATTTGCACATGAAAACAATGTGTATATTTGGAGGAGATACTTGAGAAATGGGATAAAAGAAAGAAAAAGTTTAATAATGGACAAAAGTAAAATCCTACGTGTAAAATTTCACAGATAAAATGGACAAGAGAGAGGTGGAAAAAAACATATTGCAGGAAAGGAATTTGGGAATTACAGTGAATTACAA